GATGTTTGAGAGCATGTGGATGAGATTGCAAGGATGGGAAAATCAACTATCCTAGAGTGCTTGGTGAGATTCTGTGATGCAGTAGAAAATTTGTACACGAGGGAGTACCTTCACAAACCTACGCCTAGGGACCTGCAAAGGCTTCTACAAAAAGCTGAGGCTCGAGGTCCCATGAATGATTGGAAGTATTGATTGCATGCACTGGCCGTGGAAGAATTGTCCAACTGCTTGGCAAGGAGACTGGGAATTGAAAGGGCCAAAAAAGTATAATTTTGGAGGTCGTAGCTTCATTCGACTGTTGGGTTTGGCATGCCTTCTTCAGAGTTGCAGGATCTCAGAATGACCTCAATGTCCTTGGTCAATCCCGGGTGTTCGACGATGTATTGCGAGGTCATTCCCCCCATATCACGTACCGAATCAACAATACCATATACTCTGGTGTGTACTACCTTGCCGACGGAATTTATCATAGGTGGACGACATTCGTGAAAATTATTCTGAATCCCCAATCCGAGAAGGAAGAAAGCTGGCCGATGGGACCAAATAGACAACAAATGGAGCCCGAACCGTTAATTTGGGATGGTCGATGCAACAACCCCATGATTGATCGTTATCAAGAAATGCAATCTTCATACATTCACAAGAGACGTCAAGTTAACTTGATCGAGCACTTGTGGGAGATGAAAGGCAATCACAATGGATGAAGTCAAGATTAGTGCTTTGTTTTTAATTATGCTTTATTTTGTGTGTGGTGTTTTTTGGAATTATGTTTTTTTTTATTTTTTAAATTATGCTTTTAAGTATGGTTGTGTTTTGTGTGTTGTTTGCAATAAATTAAGGTTTGTTTTTAATTAATCTTTGTTTTGATGCGCAAATGTTTTTAATAAATAGTTATATTATTTAATGCTTTCTTTATTGAATAAAAAGGAAACAATACAACAAATTTATACATATGACAAATCTTTCAATACAACCTAATGGTTTTGATCATTTAACCAATCCGTATTGCTAGGTCCGTTCTCATGGAAAAGTTTTCTTCTCGTCACATCCCTTCGTTTTAACTTCCAATAGGCATTTATTTCAGGAGACATATGGCTCGTATCCATGGCCATGATTTTCATCTCCCTATCCTCCATGTCTTTTTCTTGTGTCTGCTGCCTTTGAATTGTAAATGCTTCATGTCAGGCCATGTGCGCTTCGTCTCTTTTCAAGTCTCTCTCAATTCTTAGTGCGGTGTTCTTAGCTACTTGCTCCAAAAATTGTGCACATTCATTGTTCGAAGTGCTCCCTCTCTTGGCCTTTGCCGCTTTTCTCCTAATAGGTCTCAGCGCACGTGGGAGTGGTGACTCCGTTTCCACTTGGGAGTCCAATGGCGAATCAGTTGTTGGCGAATTGTGGAGCGGCGTCTCATTCAACACAACCGCCGGACCTGTGGGAATAATTTTGAATCTCGAACAATCCTTCACAACTTCCCAACATTCATGATGCAAGAAACTTTTTTTGCCTTGCCCCATGGCACCGAACGAAACTTGTGCTTGTATGATCTATTAAAAATAAATAATTGGAAGTGCAAGAAAAAAAAAAGATTATGCAAGAAAACATAAACAATTTTGAAATGCAAGAAAAAAATTGCTTATGCAAGAAAATATAGACAAATTGGAAATGCCAAAAAAAAAAATTATGCAAGAAAAAGAAATAGAATATGCAATTAAGAAAAAAGTTACATTAAATTGATTAAAATGACAATTATAAATATTTTACCTCATCGGATGGATTTTGCCTACTTCGAATGTTCTCCCTTGCTTTTGTCAAGGCATTTCTCCATTTCTCTAACTCTTTATTCAAAATTTTCCATATACTAGACAACGCCATTTTGGTCCAAATGAAACCCGATCTTTGACAAAATTCTCCATGAATTTTGCTCCATATATTAGAGAACTTCATCTCATTGCCCGTGACAGGGCAATGACTAACGTTCACCCAAAACTGACACAAAGCAATATCTTCCCGAGTTGTCCACGTGCCTCCGGCTTCGACAGAAGATGTCATTTTTTTTATATACAAATGGAAAGTAGTAGAAAAATGTGAGTGGAAAGTAAAAAATATTGGAAGGAGAAGAGTTTGTATGAAGATTTGGTGTGAAAAATGAATAAAATTGTTATGTATGGTAATTTTTTTTAAAAAAAAATTCAGAATTTTTTCAAATTTTTTTTAGCAAAAAAAAAAAAAAAAAAACGAAGACCGTCGGATTTCTAGAAAAAAAACAATTGGAGCGTCAGGTTGGGCCACGTGGCGTTTTCCCGTTGGGTTCTGTCAGCGGTGACGTCGAGCAGATGTCATCGAGCGGAAGTAAATTTTTTTTACCATTGGTTGGTGTGTGAAACTCACGCGCAAACGGTAAAAAAAAATTCGAAATGTGCTCGTTGACGTCAGTGCCTTCAAGCTGAAGCCCAGGCAAGATCTTCCCTTGGGCTTTCCCGGGCTGCTTCTCGCACGCGGGAGGTCCAAACCCCGCTGGGGGGGAACCTCTTGCCCTGACAAAATGGGCTGTGGTGGAGGTGGTCTTAGTGTAGACTATCGCTTGTACTATATTTAAAATTAAAAAATTAATAGTTGCTAATTGCCTCCATTAAGTTTTGATTACCTTCACCAGCTCCATCAGATCTTCATCATGCCTTGATATTGCCCATTAAGCTTGATCATCTCCATCACTTTTGCAACATATTTTCATTTTCTCTGTCTTTCCTTTCTTTAGTGAAATTCGCTTTTATAAATAGAAGGCTCCATCCCCCTATCAAATTAGTTGAATAATATTTCAATATTCATGTATTAACAATGATCACATTGAATGGTGATCTTCATTGCACAACTATAATCCAATCATGATGACCAAACTCGCAACAATCATGATCATGGGAGCATAATGCGGTTATGATCAAATTTGATTATAGTCCTATTTATTAACACCGCCGAATCATCTATTTGCTTTTTAACACATAAACAAATTTATAAAATAAAAAACAATGGGTAAGTCGAAAGGCATGGTGAGATAGAAAAATATGGGTAAGTTGTATTTGTCGTGATCGAAGCAAATAAGTGCTCCATTGGAAAAGTATGTTTGATCTAAGACCAATGGTCACAAGTTCAAAACTCTTAAGCACTAGTGCATGTGACTAAATCTCTCTCCCTCTTCCTACCTTTAACCCAAAAAAAAAAGGCAGCAAGTGCTCCAATCAGAGTTCGTTAGATTCAATCCAAAATTATGTTATCTTATTATGTATAGTCTAATGGAGTTTTCAGTTGCTAAAATTATGAATTTAGAATGAATCTAAGGACTATCATAATTAAGTGCTTAAGTTTAGCGGTTCACTAGAGAGAATAAACCTCAATCGTCTAAAAATTTTCAAGCATAATGAGCTCAATAGCCATTCTTGAGTCAAGCTTAACAAAGGAGAATCCAATCATTCTAATTTTCAATTACTAAGGGAGTTTTGTTAAAATGAGTGTTGGTCCTACAATCAAGTGCACATCCATCGATAACTATCAACAATTAATGGATGTATATTTCATAATTATGATAATAGATGTGTATTTCATAATCGTACATGTGCACATGAGTGACTTTCCTCGTTGAAGAGTCGTAAGTCATTGAAGTCATGGGTGGTAAATATTGAATTTTGTATTGAAGAAAGTAGGAATATGATGTTTGAGCTCTAGGACAAGAGCAAAAAGACAATTCATGACTAAGTGGATAAGCAGAAAGTCCATCTTCTGGGGCACCACATTTCAATAGGAAAATAAAAATAAAAATCCAACTTCAACACTACGACAATCGGACGGCCTTCCTCATGCACAGTTCACAATCAACGGCTCCCAGCGTGCTCCAAAGGCAAAGCCAAACTTGACTACGGGAACTCAAAGAAAAGCCCTCGCCATCCAGATTGGAAAGTCAATGAGGTGTGATTAAAAACGACCCCACCAAGGTGTAAACGACATCAAAGATTGCATGTAAGACAACAGGAAGTGGGGCTAGAGATGTGTAAAATGAGCAAAAGCAGGTCAGAATCACTTGGAGTTGGTGTCGTTTTCTTTGGTGGAAAATAGACATTTTTATTTTGTGTGTGATCACACTAGTTCCATTCCATCCTATCAGCATCAAATGTTGTAGATTCTCATTAGATGATGAGACGGAGGACGGTGCATGTTTTTGGTTTTCTCCTATATATATATTTTAATAATAATTTTTTTATTATAAAACTGCGTGATATTATTTGCGTTCCCATACGGTATCGAAAAGTATACTGATACTCTCATAATTTTAGAGCTTAATTAGTTGCATAAAAAGATCAAATACACAAAAAATACAATCAAGATTACTTATTTTTAGATGACAAAGAAAAATAAAAAAAATGTTGAGAAGATCAAATTGGCTTCATATGAGCTTTTTTCTGATTTTTATGAAGAAAATCAGCTATACAAAAAAGGTAAGCTAGATTGTTCTGCTTTTTCAGAAAGTGGAAATACAATCACTTTGTTCCAAAATTTCGATTGTCGGTTTATCTTTTTCATAAAGTAAGGAACATATAATTTTGAAAGTGAAAGTTGGATGACAAACAATGCACAATAGTCATGATGCTAGTGGGATGGTGTAACAGCAATATGTGGACTTTTTTATTTTATTTATTGGTTTGCCTTTTTCTGTTTTGAATAAGCCAAAGAACATTTGGAGGTACACTGGGAATTTATTATTTTTCCCATTTAGGTCATGAACCAGCAAAAGAAGGCCCATTGACACAAATTATGGGCTGCAAGCCTCCAATCCAATCCAACCCTCTTCAACAGTTGTAGGATCTGTGAGCAGGAATTTGCCTTGTGGTCGCTCAAAGTTGCTGCAATTTGAGCAAAATCTTCTCTAAGGCATATGGCCCATACCCAAGCTCATTTTGGGCGTGTTCGGATTGAATTAGATTGGATAACTCACTACATTTTACATTTGGATATAAATAAACAACCTGATGCTGATACATTAGATCAAGGAACAGATAATACAACAGTACAAGCTGCACAACTGCCTGCTTGCAGATCAAGAGGGAACATGTACATTCTTACAAAACAAGTAAATACAACACAAAATGATTTACCCCAAAAAAATATATAGGATTGATTAGAAAAGCAGCCAAATGCTATATGCTAAAACGCTACGGTATACATGTACTTACAAAAAGCACAGTGGGCGAAAAAAATTAGTTCAAACTAATTCTAGCAGGAAGGCAAACACTGGGAGTTTGCTCTTCGACAGACAGGGCCTCGCCGGCAACCAATTTCATTACAGAATGACCGGTGAGGCAGTACTTCTGACGTGCTTCATCAATGCTTCTACAGAGAACCTGTTCGATCCACTCCTTTAGTGCTTTCTTCCTTTCTGATAACCACCCAGCTGCAAGTATTTGCACCATGACACCAAAATCAATCTCCAGCTGCACCTCGGATCCAAAGATTTTCTTGAATTCTTGATTGATTTCCTTTACTATTTTCTCAGCAAGCGCATCAAAATCAAATGGCTTCAAGACCACTTTTACATCCACTTCATCAAGGAAATCTTCCAACCAAGCTTCTGAGTTTTCAGAGGTGGAATCACTGTCAAAACCTTCAGAATCTATGCACTCGTCTGTCTCCTCCACTGGCAGATTCAAATCCAGAAAGGACCTTAACGCCTTGTTGGACCGTTTCTGTAATTCAAAGGATTGATCGATGGAGACATTTGTGTCAATCAGCTTTCTTTTATTTACGGAGAATGGGTTTGAGGTTCCTTCTCTTGGTGCAATCCTCACATTCACACCCTTACTTTGGTTGACATCCCCAAGATTTCGTATCTGCATTTGACATCTCTTGGCGGCAAGTATAATCTCCTCAGAAAACTTACGGGGCTCATTCTCTATATAGTGATTTTTGCTTCTCTTTTTGGTAGCTGAGGTTGTCACAAAGATTATGTTGTTAATGCTGATTTCTCTCCCATGAGAGTCTGGAAACTTGCCAGTCCTAATGGCCTGTAACAAGTTACTCTGGGCCAGAAAGTCGGCCTTATCTACATTTTCCAGGAAGAACACCGAATGGGGTCTCCTGCTTAACTCCCCTGCAACATAATCAACAACCGTCTTACCCCTAAACTTCAGATCGTAATCATCGGAGCCTTCGCATTGGAAAATCGAATTTGACTGGTAACCCCTATCTTGGGATCCCAGATCAACAGAGATTAGGCTTTCCCTGGTTCCAAACAATATCTCAGCAAGTGCTAGAGCAATTTTTTTCTTTCCGACTCTATCAGGCCCAATCAAAGTCAGCCATATATCACCTCTGAGTTTTGAACCCCGATTCCTTCCACCACCAGATCTCCAATCTGACACAGCTTGACTAATAGTGCATATGGCTTCATCTTGCCAGCCAACCTTTTCTTTGAGAACTCTCCTAAGTGATTTGATATCTCTTGGATCACACTGCCCTCCAACATCAGATCCAGAGCAAGAAGAGGACTGGGCTATTTGCTGTGAAGTATTCTCACTTAATGCATCAAAGTCAGCAGAAATGGAACCAGAGAGGTGTCCTAGACTCTCTTTATGATCTTGTAGTCTAGGACTTCTTGGTCCCAGACAAGTTGATGCATATAATGTCCCCAATCCCAAATCCGTAGTCACAGAAGTGACAGACAAAGAACATGTGTGGTCAGTCGGAAGATTCACACTGTGGATAGGGTAAGGAGAACAGCAGGGGCTCCCCAATTCAAGTCGCTGACCCTTTGAATCTTTTGCCAATAGTTCAGACTGGGGACTAGCATTCTCGGCATTAGAAACTACTTGCATCGGTAAGTTCTGTTTTAATAGAAAACTCGTTTGCATGTTCATCGGCTTACAGCCATATTGAATAGCAGAATGGCTTTCATTTAGACATGAATCTTCACCACTATTTGCTTTCCCATCCACAACGGCTCGAGAGCCCCTAGCAGATGCAACTTGACACCCTGTTTGATAACAATCCACTTTAGGGAATGGTTGAGTGTGATGATTTTGTCGGCATATATCATTCCATTTTTTCTGCAGTGCTGATACTTGAGCATTCAATGTTGTTTGATCATCTTTGGTCTGCACTGAATAATGAAGCACACTTACACATATGTTTGTCACAATTTATTTGAGGAAATACAGCTAACAGATTAAAATCCAAAACAGTTACAAGAAACATGCATGTTAAACTGCATGTGTACGTGCGTGAAGGCATGCTTGTGCACACAAAAGTTATGCCAACTTGAGCCATAGAATTACATTTCAAAGGGATTATTACACACCTTTTCTAGATCCACTCCCTTGCCAGTAACAAGTTCTGGAATTTGCAACCAAGAAGGCAAGCTATCCGAGCACTGATCAGCTGCTGAAATAGTTGATCCTAATTTCCGAATAGCAGCTACTTCTTGCTCATACTTCTCTGTGCACTGATGACAACGTCTAAAAGATTGATACGTGCTGCTCAATGGATTTTTAAAGTCGGACGGTCCAGGAAAGAATCCTCCAAATGGAACAAAGGACCCCATCAAGCTGTAAGTATATCATGAGCATGGAACTGTGAGATCCAACGGGCACAAAACAGTCAGACACTACAGTGCATAACTTGAAAGATACATTCTTTCCATACATACACCACTAATAATAACACTACCGACTTAAACATTATAACATGTACTTCATAACACACATATATGGATTAAAAAATATCTATTCAAAAGTAAATTTTAGAACCTAAAACCAGAGTGATGAAATAAACAATACGTCTTTTCTCCACAAACATCCAACTAATTTGCATATTAAACTCAAACCATAATCCATGCATAACTCCAAGCAATTTCAGACACAAATGAAGCTTCAACCCACGTATATATATTTAGCATTTGCACAAACAAGTGGAAAAGGAGCACAGAAACAAAAACTAGAGTTGGATAACCACCTGGATTTAGAGTAAATTCCTTCCATTGAAGCTTTAGAAGAAGTAATGGGAAGAAGATGGAGATCCCAATCCTTCGCAATAGTTGAAAACAGAGCCGAAAGCTTCGTGTACACTTCATCATTTGCAGCAGCACCAATCAACCATAACTTCCCACTGTAAATCTCCAATAAGTTCTTCAACTGCATCACCACAAAGCTCACAGATTCACCTACCACACCCTCACCCACCAAAGCCTTCAATTCACCATAGTTTACTATAATACCTGTTCCAGCTCCAGAGCAACGCTCAGCCATTTGACCCACCTCCTTGAACTTGAGACTCATCTTCTCCTCACTCCCGCCATCGACAACAAACTCGGAAATCTCCTTCTCAATGCAAACCACACTGAAACTAGTGATTTCAGCTGGCAAAAGCCCTGTTTTACCTTTCTGTACGGCCTCCGTGAAGCTCTTGAGAGCTTCGCTGGCACAAACACCGATTAGCAACGGATTTTTCCCGCTCTTTCTAACTAACACGTCGCTGATTCTTCTAATGTTCTCATCTCTGTCTTCGAGCCCGGAAAACGGGAAGCTGAAGCCAGGTCGGGCCTGGTCCGCATCCGTTAAGTTACACAAGAAAATGGGCGGGCACCGGGTCCGAGGAAACCGGGTCGATTGAGTCACCGGCGGGTGAAGAATCGCGAGCTTTATATCACAGCTCCGAAACCCGGCTTCACCGAACACCCGACTCACAATCGGGTCGTCTAAGATTGATAAAATGAAGTGCTTGAGCTCGACCTTCAAAAGCGACGCCGTCTGCTGCTGGTTGTGAATCTGGTGCAGGTGGAAGCTCTCTGGATGCCGCCTCTGGTTCGCCTGAGACCGCTTGATCGCCGCCATGAGCGAGTTCGAGACCGGAGGCTCATCCTGAGCTTTCGAGGACGGCGATCGATCCAAGGAGACACCGACGGAGAGCTCAAGAGCTCGGAATTGGAGTCGTGGAGAGTACGCGCTGCTCCGTGCGCGTGCGCAGGCGTCGCGGAGAGTCGAGGAGGGCAACGCCAGCAGGGCCGAGACGGCGTGCAGTGACGTCGTCTGCGCGTGGCTCCTCCGTCTCGCAACCGCCACCGCGTCGTCCAAAGCACGTGCCGCATCTTCCGTCAAGCATTGCCTTGCTGCGCTCACCGGCGTCGGCATCGCCGGCTAGCTTATATGTATTAATATAAATTATGTATACACACGCACACACAAAACCACTCTGTCTATATTTATACGTGTCTTCGTTTGGCGATTTTGAGGGCTGAGATAGAAGAAATAAAATATAGATAAAAAATTATTCAGAAAAGGTTGTGAATAAATTATGCAATCAGAGGGAGGGAGGAGTATAAAAGAGAAAGAAAGAGAGAGATAGATTTTGGTGTCGTTGGCATGTTTGTATGGTTGGTTGAATGCTGCGGTTGTAGCAGCAGTAACGGGAGTTGTTTGTTTTAGAGTGTCTGAAGGAGGTGGGGCCTTGTCTGGAGCATTAATACATACACATGGTGAGCATAGCATAGATTCGCCTTCTTTTCACCCTTCACTTTTCGTTTGGGTTGTTTTAAATTTTTTGGGTCAGGCCAGTTGGCAAGCCTGGTGTCCGTCCCTTCTTACTTTTTTTTTTCCTTTTTTTTTTTTTTCTTTTTTTTACTTTTTTTTCCTTTTGTTTTTTAGAGACAAGAGTAAGTCACACATGCATACGAGTAACACAGGGTTTAAACTAAAGGCCATTTGTGAGCATACTAAAGAACTGAGTGAATTTAACTTACATTTCATTGATTTGCGTTCGTCTCTTACACCTGAGTTCAATCCTTCTTAGTGAGGCTAGCCTAGCATAAATAAGCTTTCTTTTCTTTATTTTTGTTTTTCGTTAAACTTTGGATTAGATCAATTCATCATAACAATATGCTCGTTCATTTACACCAAAGTTCAATACCATCTTCGCATATTATTAGAGTAGTTAGAATATCGATTTGTTTTTATAAATAAATTTTTTTAAAAAAAACTTGGAATATTATTTGTAAATGCTACTTTTTGGGTGTTTTGGTGGGGGATTTTTGATAATTTGACGTACAGATGCCGTGTCCACTGTCCAACAATACAAATGGGCCAACAGCATGATATTAGCCGTCAATGTCAAACTTTTCAGCCCTTTCAAAATTAGCTTTTTATCTTTTTCTTTATAATAAAAGTTGATATTAAATTTCTAAAATTGTCATGTCAATGACCAATTGGAGTAATGTGAATCTTCTCACACATGGGATGTTTTCTTTTACTCAGTCAATGTTTTTCTTACTGTAAATAGCATTACCATTGGCTATGTTTACTTCAGGACTCTGAGTCTTGACTAGGCAAGAGACCTCAAACTTGGATACTTCATGGGATTTTTTTTTTCTACAGCTGTCATTTTTGGGATGCTATTTTTCTTTTTTCGGAAAACAACCGCCTTATAATGATATTTTCAAAGTAAAGAGAAGTCCGATTTCTCTATCCACCATTCTTTCTTAGCGACTAGTTGAATCGTGATTATCTTATTGATGTGTCATCAATAATAAAGATGTAGATAGTTAGGCTACGGCGGATGACTAAATGCGTATTATGTGTAGAGATACTCACCTAATTCTCCAACTATTTATCAATAAAACGCTATCGTCTTTGTTCAGAAAAACAAAAATAATAATAAAGATGTAGATAAGAAAAGTAATTAGATAAACATTAACAACCTGCATCAACAAAGTATCCGAGGGGGGAACCCAACAACACCAAATGGCAGTGTCATTCTCAAAGCAGCACCAACTTGACACTTGATAAAAAGACATTAGATTGGACCATTTTTAGGGGGACCTTGTGGGAAATGGGACCATATATGCTCTCACGAGCGAGGCAGGCCTTTGCTTTCTTTTTCTGAATTTTTCAGTTTTCTACTCTAAAGTCTTCAAACCATTTCAGAAACTACACGTTGCTCAAGCGTATGGTGGAGTTCCTCTAGCCTCGGTTCTAAAGGCAGCCAAACCAAAACTAAATGTTGCTGGTGAGGAGAGGAACTCATTTTTTGGGACGTCACTGTGACGGTAAGTTAGGTTAAATACACATAATCAGATATTTTAGCCTTTTATCATGATAATATGCGTGATTAGTTTAAAATACCGTCACAGTGATTCTTGTCGATGGCTAGGGTCAAAAGTAAAGCTACATGATGTATAGCCATAGCTTATTTATTACAGTGCCATCCGTCTCTTCTCTCCTGGTCTCAAGAGAGAGAGAGAGAGAGAGAGAGAGAGATGGGCACAAAAGGTGCTTGATTTGATGTGTTCTTTTGGTTATTTGGAAGTTGTCCTTTCGTTCTTTCAACCTTTCATTTTCCTTTCCCTTGTACTTTGCTTTTTGCTTGTGCTGCCTGTATACACTTTCCCATTCAAAATCTCTTTTGAAGATGTGCAACTCTACTTTCAGATTCCCAAGCAAACATGCGTACGAATACTTGCAAACGACCTTTAGGAATTTATTAAGTGAATTCCCATTTTGTATGTATGTATATGGCTTTGATTGTTAATTATTTTGATAAATAAATATTGAATAAGTTTTATATAATTAGGCAATAAAACTTTTTAGACCCACAATTAAGATATGCTAGACTCACATGTACAAGTAGTTGTCACTTGTATTAGTGATGTGATTTATTACAAAGCGTATAAAAAAAACAACTTCATACACATATTTCCTATCTCTCTCATAATGTGTAGGTAGATATCACTTTTGTTAGTGATGTGATTTACCATAATGCGACATGGAATATATAAAAAAAACTTGAATGAAACGGATTCATACTCACCAAATCTAAGTTAAGTGCAAGTCAAATTCAAATAAATACGGTTGGCCCACTTCAAATTGAGTTCAAGCCATTACGTGTTAATTTTCAAGGTTTGTGGATCATCATAATAATTAACAAACTAGTGGTTCGATAATGACACTAATGAATTTGACTTGCACTTGACTCAGATTTCACTAATTTCGTGTCGGGTTTGAATCATGTCAGAAGTAAATAACCTTACATACACAAGGGTTGGAAGTTTCTGTTAAACTAAATAACAGTTTTACAGTCCAAGAACAACATATGGTCCTACAACCTGTTTCCATCTTAAAATTTCAAGGTCATTTTTGCAGGGACATAAAGCCTACCCTAGAAGCAAACATTTCTTTTGCTGTTGGATAGTTGGACTGACCCAACCCTAGAAGCAAACTTCATCGCAACCGTTCGTGTGAACATAATCTCTCTATCAATCTCTTTATTCGTATCGTAATCGATGCCTCATTCTCTCTCTCTCTCTCTCTCTCTCCCCTATAATGTTGGAGTTGATGTTTATGGATCCTAGTGCTATTCTTACACACATATCACTTTCCTTTACTATATTACCCTTTCAGTACCAAAAGAGTCGCGCAACCCAAAACCCAAAACCCACCCCCACAAAAAGCTCTTTGCTCGTGACAGCTTCTTTGGATTTGCATGAACCAACTTGCTGTCCAAAAGCACTTCTATTTCCAAAAGTGCTTCTTAGGGTTCGTGCAGCTCACTCTCCCATCACATGGCCATGGGGAGGGAGGGATGTGGAGCTCAAGCATGTTTTTAGATATTTGTTTGCGCAAGTGGGCATTTGCATGCATTTAGTGGTTTTTTTTTTTTGGTGGTGTTATAATAATGGAGGAGGCGTGGCTCTCTGAGACTGAGGGAGCTTTCAACTTCATGGGCACATAGATGGGTCATGAATCTCACTTTCAGCATAAAGTGGCTTTTCCCGATTTCGGAAACACCTGCATCTCTCAGTTCCACCTCATTCAATGGTTTCTCTTCCTCTTTTAAGCCCAGACCAGAAGAAAAAAAAAACCCATTTAGTTTTTTTTTTCTTCTCCTTTTTGCCAATTTCTCACATGTAATTTGCTACTTTCTTCAAAGCCTACTCTAAAAAGTCTAAGTTGTTTCATGAAAAAGAATTGTCTTCTTACATGCAAGAAAGACATTCCTCGTTTCTATCAATTATAATTTGACATATATGCAAAAATAATTCATTAAAAAAAACAAAAAAAAAACCTTATGCCATATATGGAGGAGGGGTTGGTGGTTTAGGATTGCAATTAAAGAAGTGGTTAATATTAATTAAATGGGTAAGTTGCAAAGTGAGAATGTTGACTTTGTGGCTTCATGCAAAAGTCAGAGCTTTGCACTCACATTATTATTATTATTAACAAGAAGGATCATTGGCATCATCAATAGTCCTAGGTGGGTGTTGATATTTTGTTAAATAATAGAGACAAGAAGGCTGCAGTGCAGAGCACCAGAATCCTGCCAGGTGGTTTTTTAAGTGACAAAATCCAGCCACGTCCCCAAAGCTTTATGCTTATCCAAGAACACAATCCACATGATTTCTTTTAAGCAATTGTCTCAAACTTTAATCTTGCAAGTGATTTCACGAGAAAAACAATAATTATTCATTAAAAAAATTCCCCAATCTGGATTGAGCTCATTAATTAAACTTATTTAATTATTTGTCTCTTCATCATTTAGAATAATTTTTCAATCACTTATCACACTTGCGTGCACCCAATAATAAAAAGTTTATTTGATTACCGGTTTATATTCTCTTATGAAAGGGGGCGTAAAAAGTAAGAGCAAAAGTGGGCGATAAACTTTAATCTATCATTTTCTCAGGAAAAGAAAAATTCTTTAACCTTATCATATATATAAAGTGAAAAAAAGCAAACGTTAAAAAAATGATAAAGTATCACAACAATTAACATATAATCGATTAACGAAGCACGAAAGATTCGAACTTGACATCTTTTTTTAATATTTGAAAGAAGAGTAATACTAAATTAAGAACTAGTTAGTAGTGTATTATAATAGCAGTAAACCCCATGCATATTGTAAGAAAGATGATACAAAATCGCAGTTAGTACAATAATAATGCAAGCTTACATGGGCTATAGATTTGGGCGAAGTGTCATTTTGGTGTTCTAATTATCCATATTATGTTATTGTTCGGGTTGTTTTCATTCATGCAATGCGAGGGAAAGTATGATGAGCCAAACAGGGTGATAATTCCTTGACCATGAAAAAGGAAGCAGAGGTTTTGCCATTAAAAAGATCCCAAAATTGAACGATAAGATTAGGGTTTGATCATGATGTGACACCATTGTAAAATTGTCCATGTAACAAGGACATCAACGGTGATCAAAAGCGGGGAAGAAAATATTGGAAGATCTAATTGGGGCAGTGTGTGGGGGACCAATTCCTATTTTAGACTTCAGAGAGAGGGAAAGATGGTCCCCTAAATAAATGATGGATTTTCCAAATTATGTAAAGATTCTTGATGAACATATTCAACCTCCCACTCACTACGTGGTTGAAAACTACTTAGCACTGTTGCCTTTTAACCTTTGCCTAACCCTACTCCATTTTATCTCCTATTTGTGATGGACGCCCCTAGGGTTGGTAGTACTGTTTTTTGTACAAGTACTAAATGATCGAATGTCGACAGATATGACGGTATATAAACAAAATTTGAATAAATCTAAAATGTTATATTGTTGGACAGACAATCGAAAAATCTTTTTCATTCATGAGAGGTGGTGGGGATTCAATTTAGGACTTTACTCAACCTTGAAAAGAATAATATTGTTAGATTAAGGGTTAGTAGATAGAATTAGATATTTCATAAATATATATATGTATAAATATTTGCATACAAGTGATATTGTGAGAGAAGAAAATCGAACGCAAGATCTCAATTGCAAGTATTAATGATGCTAAATTAGCTTGAGGTATAAAATCCTTCAATTATGTTGCCATGTTTGATACCCATCATTACCTACCACAACAAAGTGTTTGATAACACAACTGAAATTTAAGTTGTATAAATGTCAGACCAAAAACAAAGCGCTCCATCTATTCTTTCACTTCGTTATCGGTGTGAATCTATCAATAAAGTTGTATGTGACATTTGGTTTGGCGTCTTGCGGGCATATGACTTTGATCTAGGCTCAACTCAATGTTGGGCTCTTCAAACAGGTCCAAAATCAAATAATGGGCTTTTTAAATCGGCCCAAATTCTGAAACATCACTCGACTCAAAATTTGAAGCCCAATTAGGGCCAATTCGCACACAGTGTCAGTGTGTCTCCCTTATCGTTAAAGAAGCCCTAACAAAACAGACCCGAGCTCTCTCTCTCTCTCTCTCTCTCCTGCTCTCATCTTCTTCAGTCTTCCTTCCATCTCCTGCTCGCCAGTGGCCCCAGGTACTGATTAAAGTTTTCATTTTTGTGAGTTGGGTCTGTCAATTTTGAACTTTTCTTTGTTGCTTTCGCATCTAAACTCGTTTTTGCTTCTGTTTGGCTTAATGGGCATTTGCGAATTGTTCATTTCATTTTCATTACGGGCATTTTTATTTATTTATAGATTCTGCTTGCTGATTTATTTGTGAAAGCATTGATTTGTGTTTGGAAATGGGATATATTTCATCGTGCTTGCTGCTTTCCGCGCATAATTAGTAGGTTGACTGGTTAATGCTTTTTTCATCTCCCACAGTTCTACTTATGCTCAAACTTTGAACTTTGGTAGAAATGAAAGGTGTTCGATTTGCTTTGCGATCCTTCAACGATGGCGTTTCACGCCGATTTCATCAGCCACATATGAGAACCCTCTCCACAAATGTAACATCAGGTACTTCTCTGTACAGTTCCGTGTGCAGGACCCTGTTGGTGCCAGTTTTCCATATGGTTTTGATAATTTATAAGTTGAAATTTTGCTTGAACCCCCATGAGTAGTATGGAAATAGATTTTTCTTTTGGAGGTTAAACTTAGGATTTGGTTTGTTTTTTCTTGTAATATAGCTTCTCTATTCCAAGAATTACTCAATGTAACTACAAATAAAAGCTTGACACATTAGCTTTTTTATGTGTTAGGCGGTGAAGTGGATGATGAGAACAATTCTAATTCATTTGAATCTCCGGATGAGTTTGAGCGGCGTATTTTCGGTGAAACTTCTGGGGGTAATTTTAGATCAGATGCCTTTTTCACGAAGCTTGATAGGCTCGGGATGGGTCATGATGGACAGGGTTTGAATCCTTCTGGAGGAGGTGGAAGTGGAAGTGGTTCTCATGTACTCGACGGCTTAGATGAAAGTTTTAACACATTATCAGATGGAATGGATGGAAAATTAGAGAAAGCAGCCACCGACTTTGATATTGATTACGAGGAAATAAACCAAGAGGGCTATTCTTACAGACCAGATGTGAATTTTGAGCTAGGAATGACTTATGACCTTAAAGTATGTTATGGAGCAACTTCCCTTTCTTTTCTGCCTTTTCACTTTTATGTTATTGTTATAATTACAACTTGCACTTATTTTGTGGTGTTATAAATGTATAACCTGCGTTTGAGATTTGTTTGTCCTGAGTGGAAAAAGAATACAAGTTAGCCTGTCCTGCCTTACCACTGAACCATAATATTTTGCTACAGTGTTGTTCTCTTTATGCCTCGTTTGTCTTTAGATATATCCCCGTCTCATGTACGCACCATGTGGCTCTATGCAGGATCTTGATCTTACTAAGCCAGGAGTGCGTAAGTTTACCCCAAGGGATGAGTTTGAAGTAACTACGAAGGAAGTTCTTAGAAAAGCTGATTTCAGGGTATGTGCACTTGTCAGTCTCTCCAATATATGCATGTAGGATCCTTGTTGCTTTGTATATGTTTGCCTGTTTGGTGAAATGTAAAGGATTGTTTTTATTGTTGATGTCCCTATACCTCTTTTCCCTGATACTCATAAATAGAAGCTGAGGACTAAAATTATGCAAAGTAGATTTATCCAATTTTTTTATAAGGGATAGTCTATCTTGATTGAGACTCAGTTTCAGAATTAAAGATCTAGATATTATGATATTTGGAACTTGCTGGCTCAGTGGTTGTGAATGAGCTGCATATTGGCAGGTTATTGCACTTGATTGCCTTAAGGCCTGTTTGATAACCATTTCAATTTTAACTTTTAGTTTTCATTTTTTGTGCTAGAGTGTTGAGGAAAATGAGAGTGAGAATGGGGGTTGGGATGGGATTGAGAGAGGATGAGGAGGGAGGATGGGAGGGAGGAGTAACAAAAGTGAAAAAAAAAAACTTGAAAGTGAAAACAATTTCAAATAGATTTCAGTTTTTAGTTTTAGTTTTCACTTTTGTTACTCCTCCCTCCCATCCTCCCCTCTCATCTTCCCTCTCATTCTCACTTCCATTTTCCCTCTTTTTCCCCTATACTCTAGCACAAAAAATGAAAACTAAAAACAAAAATTGAAATGGTTATCAAACGGGGCCTTAGGTTTTCTTATTTAATTTTCAGAATATTCTTTATTCTTTATTGAATTCATCAATTGCAACTAATTTTGATTATTAGAAAACTTAAGTTAAAAACTCTGGGCAGGTTGTTGTGATTTCATTATTACTCTCTCTTCTGCTACTAGACATTGAAATGTAGGTTTAGCTGTCCTTTTTTGGTCCCTTGCATCCATTGAGATCTGAAATCCTTTATCTTATTTCGCTGGTTTTACTGTTGTGCTTGCTTATCTTATTACGTCCTTTGGATGCATTCTTGTACCAACTGTATTGCTCTGTGCAGAATGTGAGATTCCTGGCAAATTTCTTAACAGATGCTGGAATTCTCATCAAAAGAAGCAAGGTAAAATTGAATGCATGCTGAATGACCTGAACTTTGTTGAAGCTGCATTGAAATACTTTTAAGTTCCCTTGTTCCTTGTGTAGACTGGGATCAGCGCCAAGGCCCAGAGGAAGGTCGCTAGGGAAATCAAAACAGCTCGAGCTTTTGGTTTAATGCCTTTCACGACAATGGGGACAAAGTCATTTGTTTTTGGGAAAACTATGGAGGCTCTCGATCAAGATTACGAATACGAAAGTTATGATAACCCTATGGATGCCGATGGAAAAGACCCACTGGGGCCCTTTTAGGTTGTATGGAGGGGATCTTGAATCAGTAGAATTCAGTTGAGAGCACAACTACAAACCTGCCCCTATCCCCACAAGAATATACAGAAGGAGAAGAAAATGATGGAAAAAGATGGGTTCTTATTTAAGGTGAATTCCGGGATGTCAGTAACTCCATGTTTCTGGTTGGTATGTAGATTAATTCGTTTTTATTTTTTGTAGTTGGTATACATTCACTGTAATAACAGCCCAAGTAATTCCCCTTCGTATTTCAAGGCAATTGGGTTTTGGGTTTTCTTACCCAGTAGTTTGCCAATTTGCTGAACTAAGATGAATATTTTGGTACTTTTAGTATATACATAATTGATTCTAGCAAGAACAAAATTGAGTGTGCCGAAGAAGTATATTTTGAGATCGGAATTTGCACAATTTTTCTTCTCATTTTAGGATTTTAAGTTCAAGCAACGATTGTACGGAGGAACATCAGAAACAAGTTTGCCCTATAAAGTCAGGACTTTGATGAGGCGATTAACATGCAATATTTTTGCTTCTAGATCATGATGGAGCTTTGGCTCAATTATGAAAAACCATCTTCCTATAGTCCTCGTGAGTTTGCGGAAAAGAAGCATTTATATTTTTCGCTTACATTTTTGCATCCTTTTCATAACTATTTGTAGTTGGTTTCAGTTGAATGAAGTTCTTTCCTTTCGATTAAAAAAAGAAAAGAAAAAACCGAATAAAAACGATTAAAAAAAAAACCCCCGTTATCATCAAACCTAGTTGTCAACAGCCTTTAAATTTAGTGGCATTTTAGTCTCCCTTAAAAGCATATAGTAATGCTGGAGGGTTAAGGGTTGCTTTCATAGCTCAATTTTGTGATGAATTATTCTCCTCTCATCTATTAAGAAAAAAGAAAAATGAAAAAAGAAAAAAAGGAAGAAACTTAGCCCTTAAACAGTAAGCCAATTATCGTTGTTACTCTCCCAAAATCCTTCACCGAGTTAAGATTTGATTCTCTCGCATGATTGGAAGTGACCAGACTAGCTGAAAACAAAGTAAGTTGAGGTTTATCCATTGCATCTCCATCTCTCAATATTCTAACAACAAAGCTCGGGCTTAATTTTGTCCAATATTAGAGACCAAAACTAGCTGATTGTTTATTAAGAAATTTTGTGCAGGACACTTACAACAAGCAGCAATTCCAATTTCATTTTTTAAAAATCTAATTAGTGATCTATGGCACATGCAATACAGTGAAGAAATTTTAATTCTCCCGACTCGCAGGGATTTTCCTCTTCTGCTAGCTAGGCAACAACATAACCAATCTAAAGGGACCACCACATGCTCCACAGCCTGCTTATTATATTCTCTCTAATTTCTAGCATTGTCACCTTCTTCCCTAACCCAAATGCTCCTCTCTCTCCCTCTCTCTCCCAATGAAGAAAAAAAAACCAGAAACCTCCTCTTACCCATTACACAAATCTTCATAAATGACACTTGTACATCCACCATCTTCTCTCATTATCACCATCATCTTCACAGCCTTCATATCTTCACTGACACCACATGATAGGGTGGTCCATGGCCTTGGCTTAGCTTCTACCACAGCCATCACATATGGCACTTCCACTGTTTGTGGCATTGTGGCAGACAACCCTACACAGAGCATACAATGCTACCAAAACATTCAGACCATTTCAGTCCAGCCCATTGTTTCTTTTGAAGCCATCTCTGGGGGCAAGACCTTCTTCTGTGGCCTCAGGTCTGGTGGCTTTAGCCTTCTCTGTTGGGACACCAGCTTATCTAGCTCAAGTAGATTCCAACCTAAGCGCATATATCACAGTGACACAATAGCTTTGAGTGATCTGGCTGTAGGTGATGCCCAAGTTTGTGCCCGACAGGTCAACTCCAGAACTGTCAGGTGCTGGAGAGGAGGAGATGGCACAAGAGTGTCTTTGTTTCCCTCACCTGGGGAAGCATTGGAATTTCATACAATCACATCTGGAAGGGGGTTTACATGTGGGATTTTGATGAATGGTAGCAGAGTTCTGTGTTGGGGTCAGAGTAGTGTTGGAGCTGAGATTCAAACAGGGTTTGAGAATGTGCTGATGTCAAGCCTAGTTGTTGGAGAGTCTCATGCTTGTGGGTTGAGTGTGAATGGAGCTTTGGTCTGTAAAGGAAACAACGATTCCGGGCAACTGAACGTACCTTCAAGTACTTCAGCTTTTGAGTTTTCAGGCCTTGCATTGGGATCAAATTTTACTTGTGCTATTCGTCGAAGAAATGGCTTTGTTGTATGCTGGGGAGGAAGAAACAGATTTGAATATGACAGTGATGCTATTGAAAATGTTTCATTTGAGTTGATTGCTGCAGGTTTGGATTTTCTTTGCGGCTTAACAACAAGTAATTTATCAATGATTTGTTGGGGACCAGGCTGGACTAGTTCTCAGAATGATCTTCCACTAGGAATTATTGTTCCTGGTCCATGTGTACAAGGTCCATGTAGTAGCTGTGGTGTGTACCCGAATTCAGAGACTCTTTGCGGTGGTTCTGGGAAAATTTGCAAATCATGCCAGATTGAACTTCCAATTGCAGTGCCGTTGCCCCCAATAAATCCGCCGTCAACACAAGCTTCAGCACCGGCTTCTTCATCATCCATAACCAGAAATAGGCTTTTGTTGGCGTTTGCAATAGTTGGATCAGTTGGGGCTTTTACAGGGCTCTGCACTATTATCTTTTGCCTATGGACTAGAAAATGTGGTTCTTGGTCTAACCATCATGATTCTGTGCAACCCACAAGTGCTGTTGCCCCCAATGCAGGTTCTGCAGTTGGGATTGAAAATGATCCTAATGCTCCACCTTCAAGATCAAGTTCCATCAAGGGCTATATAAGCGGCTCATCATCAAAGCATGGAGACAAGACTGAGTCATTTCACCTAGCAGAGCTGTCCGCTGCTACCAAGCACTTCTCATCAGAAAACAAGATTGGTGCTGGGAGCTTTGGTACTGTCTATAAAGGCAAGCTCTCGGATGGTCGCGAAGTGGCCATCAAGAGGGGAGATACTAGTACCAAGACCAAGAAATTTCAGGAGAAAGAGACCGCATTTGATTCCGAATTAGCATTGCTGTCCCGGCTTCACCACAAGCACTTAGTGAAGCTAGTGGGATCCTGTGAAGAGAAGGATGAGAGACTTTTGGTTTACGAGTACATGTGCAACGGTTCACTTCATGATCACTTGCATAACAAGAAAAATGTTGAGAGAAGTAGCAGCATTGTGAATTCTTGGAGAATGAGGACAAAAATTGCATTGGATGCAGCCAGGGGAATTGAGTATCTGCACAATTATGCTGTGCCAACAATAATTCACAGGGACATTAAGTCCTCAAACATTCTTTTGGATGAAAATTGGACTGCAAGAGTATCTGATTTTGGACTGTCATTACTGGGACCGGAATGTGACCAAGAGATCATGTCATCGAAGGCGGTTGGAACAGTTGGCTACATTGATCCTGAGTACTTTGTATCAAATGTTTTGACAGCAAAGAGTGATGTCTATGGCTTTGGGGTGGTGTTATTGGAGCTTTTGACAGGTAAGAGGGCTGTGTTCAGATTCAGTGAAGAGGGAACAGGTCCAATGGGGGTTGTGGAGTATGCCGGGCCGCGGATGATGGCGGGGGAGCTGCAAAGCATTTTGGATCAAAGGGTGGTGCCGCCAGATCCGAATGAAGCTGAAGCAGTTGAGCTGGTGGCTTATACTGCCAGACATTGTGTGAACTTGGAGGGGAAGGAAAGGCCTAGTATGACTGACATTGTTGCCAATTTGGAAAGGGCACTTGCTCTTTGTGAGGATGAACGTTTTAGCTTCTCTACCACCACAATTTCCCTCCCTTCATTGTGAAATTTCATCCAAAAACAGTATTCATTTATTTATTTTTCCTTATTAATTCTATACCAAATTTTTTTTCTTCACCATTTCGGCTTATATATGATTCTTAGTTTCACGATTTTTGCCATGGTAAAGATTAAGGAATGCCATAAAAGTGATATAGTTCACGAGAAACTATTTAATAAATAAGGCGTATACACTTTTCTTTCGCAATCATCTCATATGAGTAATATATGATAAATAATTAGATGATGAATAATTGTACAAAAAGGGGCGTATACGACAGTCCACTATAAAGTTATTGCTAACTTTAACGTGCACAATAGGCCGGTGGTCTGGTCACTTGACATGATGGCCCTATCTTCTTGGTTGAGGTGCATAGTATCTCTTATCTTTTGCCTCCTGAATGTTGGCTGGTCTGGGAAGCAGTGGGGCATGAAGATTTTATTAGTGATTCCAATCAAAAGCATTATCCTATTCCTATATATTGGGATCTTTGATCAACTTAGGGCATATTTATGTATCAGTAATAAAAAAAAGTAAGGAATTAGAGAATTTAGGAATCGGAGAACTACTGAATCAGTATGGGAAAAATCATTCTCATTAAGCTGTTTATTAAACATATGGAATTAGTAAAGGAATGGGGTTAATTCCCATTTTTATTGTTTACTAATTTGTATGAATCAGAATTCAAATTAATTTGATTACTAAAATGTCATGCACATTTTCACCAAAGCACATATATAATTCTCAAATTGGCTAACGACACCAAACTAATCCTGCAGCAAACTAGTAAGGCTTTGTAAACATGAGGAATCAATATGCTGAACAAGATGAATAATAAGAGCTCAGTTCAATGATAATGTTAATAACACCTTTGTTCAGAGCCAATTTCAAACGAAAATATTTCAAATAATAATAACGTGCATAATCTTCATACGTTTAAATACATAATCTTCATTCTACCAAAAAAGAGATATATAATCTCCACAAAAGTCTTTATCCATGATTGTACTTTGTTTTGTGATGAATGTGAAGACAAAAGATAGAAGAAGAAGAAGAATATAGATTTCATAGCACAAGGCGTTGCTGTTGCGTTTGGGAGGTTGTGTCTGCAACGCTAACGGGAAAAAGAAGTTGGAGCGTCTTGGAACTTCTTGGTGCTAGTTTTTATTTTTTTAGGGTTTGAAGTGTTTTGGAATTATGGTAAAGTGGTAAGGGTATTTTTGGAAGTTAATAAGAGAAAACAAGAATGAGAATCGTATTGACTACTCCACCTAGTTGATATGATACTTAGTTTTGAGGGGATGTGATTACGGATTTTGAGGTGGGGCCCACTTATTTTTTCATGGGAGTTTCACTAAAACACCCAAAATAGGGGTTGAAATTATAAAAAAACCCAAGCACTATTTAAACATATAAACACACCCAAAACTCATCATTACACACACTCAAAACCCATTTATAAACACACCCAAAAAGTTGACTTTGGGGTTGATTTTGGGTGTGTTTCTATGTTTAAATAGTGCTTGGGTTTTTTTATAAATACATGTCTAGGATTGGGTTTATTTATAAATTTGTATTTTTTCATTCCTAATTGCAAGTAAACGCAGGGGAAGTCAAGAATGGAAATCATTCCTTTTTTTTTGGAATTCTAGTTACTTGAGCTAGTAAATTTTGCACAGGCAATTCAGGTTTAAGGACCAATCTTTGCAAACCATTTTCCATACGATGTTGTTTCAGAAAATTAATTTTATAATTAGCTTCCACAGAAAATCATATAAAGGGTGCCAGTGGCTGCCTCTTGCCTCAAGAATCATATAAAGAGGTTTTGTAGTTGTTTTTTACTTGGTCGGAGGATGTTTTAAATTTGATTTACGTGAATGTAAGATCGATATATATGTATGATTTGATACCTTGATTGGTTATGAAAGTATAATTTTGATATTAATATTCTTACAAAAATAGTCTTACAAATATTAATATTCTGTTGTTTATAAATAAATAAATAAATAAATAAAGTCTTTTAATGGCAGTCACGATAACAATTTTCTGAAAAAACAAATGTATGGCTTTTGAAATATGCAAATTTTAATTTTGTACTTGGCTGTTTGAAATCATTTAAATAAAAAAAAACAAAAAGAAATTAGGAAATATTGGCTTTTGAGTTTTGAATCCCAAGTTGACCCCAAAAAAAAGAAAAAAAAAAAAGAAAAAAAAAAAAAAGACTAATGAGTCACACTAGTTGTAAAACGCGGGGCCTGCGGCGGCTGCACCGTTTGATCACAGGCTGTACAACCGCTGGGTGCTGATGAAATGATGAACGTGGGATTATAAAATAGGCTAAACTTTTGGTTAATTGATTATGTGAAGCAATAGGAAACAATAACCTATTACCAATGTGATCAAGACATGGTCATTCAAATCATTGTTTTATTAAGTTGTATTAGGTGGCTTAATTACATAAAAATTAAGAGACACGTGAGAATGTCAAAGGCTAATCATTGTCCACCCTCCCTCTTGAATCAAGAAAAAGACAGGTTCAATGTTACTATTTACCATAGGCCATAGGCACAATTTTTAGCACATATTATCGATACATGCGAATCTCACGATGCGTTGACTTATGTGTAGGCGATTATCCTCAACATCACTCGTATGATCTATTAAAAGAACATATATGATTTACTTATTACATAAAGTTAGTTGTGAAGAAAAAATATATGAGAAGCTGATTTCCCACTCATCTTTTGTTCACTTCCACTCTCATTGTTAGAAATTGTATATTTCCACTCATCTTTTATTCACTTACGCTCTCTTGTGGGAAATTGTATGTTATAGTAACACTTATTACAAAACATAAGGTAGTGTAAGTAAACAAAAGAAGAGTGGAAAAATAAGCACCCTAATATATGTGACATATGACATTTATAGAGCATCAATAAATAATGCACCATTAATGACGACGAAGAAAATTGCACTCTGTGTTTGATCAACTAGCTCTTTTATCTAGTGACACTTTTCTTTCCATGGTTGAAAAATATGCCGAATCCAAATAATTAAAAAAACTTCTCATGTCTTGAATTGGAAGGACTCTAACACAAGTGGCTAAGATAAAAGAATTTCTTGTGTATTAGCAGATGCAAGTTTAGCATGTAATATTGAACATGGATTACAGGAGAGGCATAGCATGAGCAATACTTATTAATTTATTCAGCATAGTCAAAGTCAAATCCCATCAGAAGCCTCACGGATTTATACCTTTGGCCTCTTCTATTATGCAGAGGAACAGCTCGGATCCCAGTTCTGAGCTCTGGAATTGGGAGACATGTTTGGCCACCAAAGTCATGTTTCCCAGAAGTGTCATATTCTTTGACTTCAACTCGGAGCACAGCCAGTTCTGGAACACTCAATGGGAAGATGAACTCCTTGTTCCATACTGGTACCCACTGGTCCTCAATTGGCGAGGTTTCCATCATTTTTGTATCATTTGGCACTCCAGCAATTCCAACCTACAAACACACCAAATTAAGCTTTCTCTTACCAGACTGTTAATCTGAACCATACCATACGTGCGTTCAGACAAAAGTATATTAATCAGTTGTCTAGATTGTTGCTTTGACAACATAATATGTCAAACTGTCTGTGACATGAGAACATTTTACTATGTTACGTATATTGGTAAAGTTCTCTTACTAGGTACAAATGTAGACTTACGTCCAGATTGTTACGTGAACAACATAATATGTCAGAGTATCTGTTTGGCAAGAGAGCATTGTGAAAATTTTGGTAACATACCCTCACAAAAAAGTCCGGAGGAGAATAAAGATCAAAGTGTGTGTGGTGGAAATCTGAATGCCATCCTTCACCCATGTATACTTTTACCTACTTGTCAACAAGAAGGTTATGGAGAAAGTTTGTATATATTTGAAAATAATAAGGGAGTGGCATGGTTACAAGTTTGATCAGAGATTCAAAGCACCTTCAAATTTGTCTTGACCGGTAAGGGTTCATTAGGATCAAAAGCCTCATTATTTGGGCCAAGGGCCAGTAAAAAATCAGGTTTCTTCACATAACCACAGCCTCCATTGGCTCTGAACATTCCATTCATGATCCAAAGGTGCTTTCCATATCCCTTTGAGAAGAAATTCACTATTGTAAGATAAGCAGGAATTGAGGTGAAGTAAAAGCAGGATTCCCAGCAAACAACTATAAGCTAGTTATTTAAAAAGTTAGCTAAAAGTTACAAAAGAAGCCTAACTTGCATATTGAATGCCACCATTTGAGCTCCATGGGTCCATCCAAGCATAGGATCATAATTTGATGAGTCTAAACGTGTACCCTTAGGATACACCCTTAACAAATTTCTTTGTGTAAACCTAGAGAAAGATTAATTTAAGCACAATTGATCATTTAGACGGTGAAGAACATTAAGAATTTAAGAGTAGTTAACATGAAAACCAGTGTAATGTCACCTGACAATATCGGATCCACGGGTTCTGGTTGCATTTTCCAGTTCTTGCTCGCTCAAGCTAAGACGCCGGACCTTAATTGGGTCGATATGCCATATATCAAGCCCACCTTTCGGCTTCCCTGCATGAATTGCAATTAACTGCTTATATTCTGGAATGGCATTCTCCTCATCTTCATCTTGATCATCTTGTTCATTGTCCTGCTTTCAAGTGTGTAATGATATACATGATTCTTGGTTCACTAAGCAAATGTGTTAGCACAATGTACACCAGTGTTCACATGCACCTTAATACCTTGTTATCAGTGGCTCCCGATTCCCTAGGTCTCTGAGATTCATGATACTCCGGTGGCTTGGTCGAAATCAGAATCCTTCTCTTCAATGAGTCAGGTGAAGGGAATTCCATTATGAATTCTGAACGAGGGCTGTATAGCGTGTCTCCAAATGTTTCTTTGACCATCTACAATCACATTTGAAAAAAGAAGTTCAAATCACAATTGAAGTGGTGCATAAAAAAGAATCATAAGATGGGGAGCCTAATTAAGGTAT